TCCATTCAGGTTTTTCGGGGTTTCTCAAAAAGTTAAAAAAAACTGCCGTCGAGGGAGGGGAGGGGTATAGCGCGCATGAATTAGCAAAACCGAGAAAATCAACAGAATAGCAAAGAATAGCAAAATTACCAGTTGGAAAGATTTTTTCTCGTCTTGGACGAACTTGGAAAACATTTTTTCAGAGGCAATTAAGACCTGATCCCCGGAGCGACCAAATACATCTCCCGTAGGGTATCTCCAACATACGACGTACCTGTTTCCATTTCAGCAATCCCAGTTCTGCGCCTTTGAATGCCCTTATTCAATTTCTTAGCGTATTTGCGCTGAAATGGCCTATCATATAGAAATCAGAATTTTATAGGTGTTTTATAGTCTTTGCTGTTTGCTGAAGGAAAGTGCAAAGGTTTTCTGATTCTCACTTTAACTTGAATTCTCTAAAAGTGCTAGATTACCATCAGTCCTGCAATCTCTTTTTCGAGTGTTTGCGTTGTTTGCGTCTTTAATCAGAAGGCATCCCAGATTTCCCCACTCTACCCTTGGGTAAACCATCCGTTCTAGGTGTTGTTGCACTTGTCGTTAACTCCGTACGCCAGTGTTTGCCTATGCTAAGCGGCGTTTTTTATTTCCTTTGCCGACGTCTGGCCTGATGCCATTTGTCGATGGCCTTCTATGTTGACAGAAGATTTATCAGTGAGGTAGCATTAATTATTTCCTTTTTCTCCTTCTGCACTCCCTTTCTTTTCGTGAATTTGTGAAAGCCTGTGGTGCTGAATTCGACAGGTACAAATAGTAGAGGGTGAAAGGTGATGCATTTGTACTCTGTCGTCCCCTGACACCCCCTCATCCGGTTGAATTTTTCTGATGACTCATTTTTTGTGGCGCCTCTTTCTTCTATTCACGGCCTGTTTGCAGACTCATACTATTAGTATTTTGGCTGTTGTTATCGTGAGCTGTAGTCTATCTTATTCAGAAGGGTACTGGCTTTTATTGAACAAATTTTCTCGAGCATGTTAGGATGTTACTCCATTGGCCTTGCTGATTATTATTCTTTTTCAAAGTTGCAAAAAGCGTTTTCAGTGTTGAGAAGTTTTCAATGTTGCGAAAAGCGTAAATCTGTTTAAGAAAGCGTTTAACCCTTTTGATCGGGGCACATCTTGGCGCTATTAGGGATTTTTAGGTGTCCGCGCTCCGTCCCCCCCCCCCCCCTCCATCAAATTTCCTTCTCAGGTACAGCTCCCTCTGACTCCCTACCTTCACTTCTCTCAAATTTACCCCAAAATTTTGCAGTCAAGCGAAGGAGAGAGTAGACTCCTCCGATTTGCAGCGGCGCCGAATCGAAAAAAGTCTCGGGCCGATTAGGATCCCCTTCCCTCAGGCGACTAAGTGTGGTTCCGGTTGCGGATCCCACAAGGGAGATGTGCCCTGGTCGATAGTCTGTTTTCGTCGCACGCTTGAGAATTAATGAGTACCCAATAAAATATCCAATCTTGTGAAATTTTTATTTTCTACAGTTTTCATTTTTTCCCGAGTTTAATCCAGGGAGCGTATTTTTTGTGTGTTCCTGTCTAGAAAAAAAATATCTATTTCGAATAATAAATGCTCTTTGGGTTATTAGAGGTTTAAAATATGCACGCATTGTTGGGACCATACAAATAAGTGCAGTATCTCAGAAGAGCGGATGTGTGTGGCGATTGGCACGCTCAACACGTGCGTTGTCTGGGGGTCGAATCCCGCCTAAGTCTTCCAAGCTTTCTACCTTCCTGGGCGACAAATGGGTTACGAAATTACCCCACAAGTCATTGTATAGACATACCGATTTCATAAGCCACTACATTCTGGCTGGAAGAGGAATGCGTGCCCAACCCTGCAGGGATCGATTAACGGCGAAAACTTTAACTTTCATATCCTAGTAAACAGTAATACTCATAAAGGAAGCGTATTCCTTTTTTATTCCCTTTTTAAATCAATTTTACTGTTTCGAGCTGCTGAAGCTTCGGTTGTGATTTTTGTTTACTTTCTATGTCAGATTTCTTCGAGAAAGCTCCCTACTCGTCTTTTTTCACTACTGATTATAATGAGCAGAAATACGTGAATTCTAAGTCCTCCCGGTTGAAATGTGTAAATAATTCATGAGATATATGGGGATTCTCGTGAAAGTAAGCGTTGTTTTTTAGGAACGTGAAGCAGCGCTAGCTGGTAAATTGACTGGACGGCAGTTATTCTTGAAGGATGCGACGTTAAGTCTTTCCGATGTGGCGCTGATCGAGCAAAGTGTGGAGATAGACGAATCATTGTTCGATGAGGTATGTGTTAGCGCTTGGTCTTTTATTTCGCGATTTGATTTTATTTCCAAACCGTTTTTTCTTACTGTAATTGCTACGAGTAGTGTGTAGTGTAAAGCTAATAAGTTATGAGCATGCATAATTTCTTGGTACTGATTTCTTGACCGAGAAATTGATGGAGTGATAATCCTGTCTGTCGCGGTGGTGTTGAATAATGGGGCGAAACTGGGGAAAAGGGCAAAAGGAATCTACAAAAAGCTTGACCATAGCAAAGATTCAAATCTGGACGTCACGCCTACCGCGCTACTATGCCAATTGCGACAAATAAGGGCGCAGTTCAGCTTGGGGGGGGGATTTGCTGGTTTACATCGAACACTGCCTTCTATGACGACCTGCAAGTTCCTGCAAACCTCTACAGCAGTACGCTTTGCTGAACTTGACTAGAGTTCACAGGTTCTACCGAGGTGACATGTGGTTCAACAGAAACTAGTCAAAGGAACTGATTGCAAAATGCCCACCCCTAGCCGAACAGCGCCCAAACAAATGTTATGTATCTGTCCTATAGTTACATCTTTAAGTACTTGTTTTCTTTCTTTAGTTCCTGAGTTATTTAGATTTCTCCTAAGGGTCAAGTGTACTCTTCTGGATAGGATATATGATTTGAGTGAATTTCTATAGTTCAGTTTAGTTCGCTGAGTTCAGACTGAACATCTGCTCGAATTGAAACTTTAGGCGCAGTTTCGCTTAGTGGGGAAGAAAGGTACTCAGGCAAACTGTACGAACCATCTTGTGAAGAGCTATAAATTCCTGTGTCTGAAAAGTTTAACTCTTACCATTTCGCAGCTTCTCCTGAGATTACAGTTGTTAACTGCCTTAGGTAACCTGCGCAAGCAGCAGTGCAAAATGCCCCCTTTAAGCGAAACTTCACCCTTCCTTCAACGGAAAGCGTCAAATTACATTTAATTTTGTATTTTGTGAGCAACACGTGTTTCCAGGAAATCGATGGACTCGAGCTCGATTCGGATGAGGACTAACAGCGCTTGGGTGCCGAGATCTATGATCTGCTGTGAAGCCAAACATTGTTGTTCGCTGATTTTGTAGTAGGCTTAGGTTATGCGCTATTTCCATGTGCAAACCACAAGGTTATCGGGTATTTCTTGTCATTTTCTTTGTTAATTGTTGGAAATGTTGTATAGGAGATCTATTAAATATTGTTTTACATCGCTTGGTTTGCTGCTCGAAGTGGTCCAATCTATGGAATATCTATTCGAAGTTATTGTCTGTATTGTGAATTGCAAAACTCATTTTTAATTGCAGAATGTCATATTCAGACGGCAGGGCGTCGTCCAGTCGTGGTTCGGGGAATAGCCGAAATTCGGTCAGTTTTCTAGACACTTTTCGGTCCAGTCATTTCAGAGGCTGTTCGGGTTAGGGTCGGGGAAGGGGTTCGGGTCATACTGCTAGTTTGTTACCTCACCTTGGTCAGAGTTGTGAAATTCTGTGTGAACTCTTGCAAACTTAAGAAATGCGATGAACTTCTTTGGCTGAAATAGCCTTACAAGAGTTCACAGCAAGGCCCTTCCTTTCGCCGAGGAAAATGTTCTGCGAAATACGACCACTCTCCAACCCCCCCCCACCCCCGCCCAGCTTCTTTCCCTCAAAGGCCCCCTCCCTCATGCTACCTTTTCAATTTTCCCGACATCCTAATACTTTCCAAAATTTTCCAGAAATTTTCCACTTTTCCTCCGATGTCTTGCCGTCAAATGAAGGATTTGGGTGCAGCGCGCATGAGGCAGGAAAATCATGTTGCAGAAAAACTTTCGAACAAGAAACGATCATCTGTTGAAAAAAGAACGACCCCCCCCCCTCCTTTCGCTAGGCAATCCCCAGCGATGGTGTCCCTGCTGTAGGAGTCGTTTAATGCGTGTTGTAATAAGCAGTCAAGGAGTCATCAACTGAATCATCGCTAGCGAATTAGCGTCTTGTTTAGATTGGCTTTATTTACATCCATATTCATTTAGAATGGACGCAACCACGTGACGCCTATCCATATTCATCAGGCACACATGCCAACAATGCCTTCATTATTACAGGTTTGAAGGCTAACATAGTATTGTATACTAATGTTGTAATACTCCTATTCTAATAAGAGCGCGTTCATACTTCGCGATCCAATCTTGCAGTCGGATCACTCGAGCGATTGGGTTGGCCAGTAAATGGGCCACTGCAACGACAGAATTTGAGTACAGATGAAGCATTATATAATGTACAAAAGGTCGCCAAACCGGATTTTGCCGTTGCGGCGACCTATCAGAAGGAGTTAGAGCGCCACTGATCGTGGTCGCGCGATTCAGTCACTCGAGCGATTCCATCGCGTAATTCAATCGATCGGATCGAAGTATGAACGCGCTCTAAGGTGGGGCATTTTGGTGCAGAGCGCCCCGGTCTTTAAAAATCAAGGCAGAAGTTTCCTTATACAGTAAAGAAACTGTGTGACAGTGAGAAAATGACAAAAAAAAGAATTAGCTTTGGGCACTTGAGCCACTTTTACCCCACCTTCACGAATTCCTTGAAGCAGTTGAATATTTACACCGTTGGAAAAGAGGAAATTCCTGTTGGATTGCTTTAACTTTCGTTAAGCTTCGTAAATATACATTTTTTTTTATTTCGTTCATAGATGTTGGGGTGCGCTGTCAGAAAGGGGAGGCGGCTTGATCTGAGGGACGGCTGCATTGGCCGTTGTGTCCACTAATATTGTGTCGCTGTTTCTTCAATAGGTTTGGGAGAACAGTGTTAGCACCCGGCAGCAGATCTTCTTCTGGCACGCCACAAGGTGTGCAGCGAGAATACTGGTAATTACCCCCATTGGCTGAAATCATGAGCGTGGAGATGCAAGTTTGTGCGGTTCTCACCATATATCATTGTTTCGTTTAGCCCATCTGTTTACCCAATCTCCCTTATCCCTGACATTCAAATGTGATCGTTTAGGTGAAGTCCAAGTTTGATTCGGAATGGAGAAGGTTTTCTCTGACGGCAGGAAGTCCAGAAGTGTATTCATATGATAGCTTTCGTGCTCTCGTAGAGAAGTTACACCATCTCGAGAATGTTCCTTTTACACTGTGTTATAATTCAGCTGGTGGAGATTTGCTTCCAATTACAAATGACGAAGTAAGTTTTGCATTTTCTAAGCGGAAATTTTTTTTTTGGTCAAAATGTCTCACATTCCGCGTTCGTCTTGTGGGCGGGGACAAGGAGACCACCTTTGCTCGTTGTTCCTACATATCGCCTTGGAATGAGTGGTGATATCTTGATGGTTTTCTGCCACCGCTCATTCGATCAATCGCGGAATGTACCCAAGAGTCATGTATGGACAAGGAACTTCTTTCTTTAGAATCTTCGCAAGTCGTTCGAATCGGCTCGCCCCACTCTTCGCCTTCTTATCCAGCGAAAAGGCGAATCCTGGGAGGAGAAGTACGGTTACGGTACTGACAGCGATAGGTGAGCAATATTTTTTCGTTGCTAGGGTTTTACTTCATTGGTGGTCTCAGGCAACTTACTAATAACGAGAGGTTTGCTCAAAATCTATGATTTTTAAGGAGGAGGAAAGGTCTTTCGGCATTGATACCCGTACAGAAAGCTCCAAGAAGAAATTACTCGATATCAAATCCGGAAGATTTTCGACAGGTGAGCATATTTCTTTCTCTCTATCTACTTATTCCCTATCTCTTCCTCTCGGTCCCCCATTTATCTTCTCAAAATACATATTTGCAAACGAGATGCTTGGAGCATAAAAGCTGTAGTTTCGCTGTTATTTGGTGGAAAGTAGTCCAGTTCGATCAATAAATATATTTATCATTAACACACGTTTGCGGTTCCCATGCTAATACGTACAGGTGAGGTTTCAGGTTTCTGCCATCATTGACGTTGATATTGTGCCTGAAGCTCATCGCAGGGTACGGCTTTGCAAACACGGTTCGGATAGGCCTCTTGGATTCTATATCAGGTAAAAGAAGTTTTACATTTTCGTGTAAGGTGACGCATATAGTATTCCGGAGCAGTTCGGCTTGGTGGGGGCACGAGATGTTACCCAGCGAGGCTTGTACAGGCCAATTTGTGAAGACTGCAAAGTCCTGTAATCAGAGTGGTCTACATGTAGCATTTCGCAGCCTCACATGTGTCGACAGCCTCATTAAAGTATTCAGTTCTGTTAGTTGGCATAAAGTAGCAAAAGAACTAGCGAAAGTACAAGATGCCCCCCTCCCTTCCCTTTCAGGCCAAATATTCCTCCAATATTCCTTGTTGTTCTATATGTTACCGGCATTTTCTTTTGTTGGTAAGATGTACCATCAGTATTTAAAGAGACGGGCAAAATTCCCTAGAATATTACCTTTT